GCCTTCAGCTGCAGCTGCCATATCCAGTGCGTAAGTACCACGTCATGCTATGCCATGCTACGCTTTGGTCTTCAACGCCATGCTATGCAATGTTATGTTCGGGGCCGCTGTGCGATGCCATGCTTTGCGTTGCAAGGCTTTGAGATACAATTCTTCACTACGCCACGCCACGCCATGCTGTGACATCCTACGCTTAGCGGTGCTCTTCTACGACATGCCACGCCGTGCTCTACAATGCATCGCATACCCTCTCGACATCATTGCCCTGTTCAACATCCGACTGTGCGAGTAGAAAGGGGATCTACGTCATGGTAAGGGATGGGAGGGAGGGGTAGGATGTCAGGTATGACGCGAGCGCACCTAGCTTGCCTCCTCCCCCTCCTCCTCCTCCCCCTCTCCTTCTTCTACTCCTCCTCCCTACTGAGGATTTCCTATTCGGGACTTTTTGATATGATGCAGAGCCTAGCATGGGCTCGCCAAAATCTACCAGGGCTTAGCAAAACTTGCCAAGGACGTGCCAGGGCCTACAAAGCTCACCAAGGGCTGAACAACGCTTACCAAGGCTGAACAGGGCTTAGTCGTGCTTAGCAAGACTTAGCAGCGCTGGGCAAATATTGTCGGGCAGTGGCAATGCATAGCAGATCTGAGCATGGCCTATCAGGGTCTACCAGGGCCTAGCTAGGCTGCGCAGAAGTTACCAGGGCTCAGAAAAGTTGTTTCTCTGGGCTGAGCAAGGCGCGCCAGACCTACCTGGCCTTAGCAAGGCTTGTCAGGCTTAGCAGGGCTTAGCAGAGCTTAGCAGGGCACAACAAAGCTTAGCAGGGCTCAGTCGGGAGTACCAGGACGTCGGAGGGCTTCGCAGAGATTGTTATGGTCTGGCATTGCATAGCAGGCACAGCAGGGCTTAGCAGGATTTGCAAGGCCTTAGCAGGCTTTACAAAACCTTAGAAAGGCTTACCAGGTAGTAAGCTGTGCGAGGCTTTGCCAAGCTTGCCGAGGCCGAGCAAAGCTCAGCAAGGTTTACCAGGCCGAAACATGGTTCAGCAGGGCTCACCAAGCCCAGAGGAGCTCAGCAAGTCTTACCACGCTTGCCACTGCTCAGCAGAGCTTACCAGGGCTCAGCAGGGCGTGTCAGGAAATAGAAGGGGCAGCAAGGTTTACAAAGCCTCAGCAGGGCTTGCCAAGGCTTAAACATGCATGCCATGTTTTAATAAGGCTCAGCAAATCTCAGGAGGGCTTATGTATGAGCAGTGCTTAGTTGAGCTTAGGCAGGCTTACCAATGGTTGGCAGAGATTGTCAGGGAACCGCCATTCTTAGCAGAGCTTAGCATGGCTGAGCAGGGTCTGCCATAACCGAACCTAGCCGATATTAGTCATATGTAGCAGTGCTTAGCGGGCTCAGTATGGCTTATCAAGGTTCTCAAGGCCGTAACAGGGCTTACCAAGTCTTGGCAGTGCATGGCAGGGTTCAGCAACGCTCAACAGGGCTGAAGGCTTCGCAAGGCTCAGCAGGGCTGATCAAAGCTCGCAACGGCTGGGCAAGGCCCAGCAAGGCCCTGCAAGGTATGGCAAGGCTTACCAAGCTTAGCAAGGCTGAGCAAGGTCTACCAGGCGTAGCAGGGCTTAGCAGAGCTTACCAGGGCATAACACACCTTGCCAGCGTTTAGCAAGGCTTTGCAGAGCTTGCCAGGGCTGACCAGGGCTGAGCAGAGCGTGGCAAGGTCTATCACGGCTTAGGGGCGTACCAGGGTTCACCAGGGCTCAGCAAGGCTCATCAGAGCTTAGCAAGGACGCGCAAAGCTCAACATAGCTTTACAGGTTTAGCAGAGCTGACCTAGGCTTACCAGAGCTCAGCAGGGCCAAGTAGAGCTTGGCAGAGCATAGCAAGGCTGGGCATGGCTTAGCAAAGCGTAGCAGGGTTCACCAGAACGTACCACATCCTAGCGAGACGTGTCAAATATTACCAGGGCGTGTCAGGACTTACCAGAATTGCGCAGGCTAACGTGGCCAACGAGTGGCAAAATGAGCTGACTAGTGGGGATGCTGGCAAATG